TTTCTTGATCTTGGCCTGAAGTGCATGTGCCAGCATTCTGTGAAAGAAAAGAGACTATTTCTGTGGTATTTCTTAGCTAAATGAAACTTTTGTACCGGAAGTTGTCTGAAGAAGCCCAGTACTGTGGTACAGAACTAATCCATGAGGGCCAGGCCTTCATACACTTTTCTCCCTTTTCCTCTCCGGATCGGTCCTCTCAAGCTGCCTCTTGGGTCTGGAACTCTTACAGACAGATAATCCTTGCTCTGGGCACCTGAGGACAGATGGCTGTCCTTTTTCTCCTCCTGTCTGTTTAACAACAAACTCTTTTAAACTCTTCTACATAATGACTAATCTTGAGTTTGCTGACTGAACAGAGTGTTTTCGGTTTTGTGGTTTCAGAGCCTTGTTCTCATTTTCCAGGAACTGTATGAATGGGAGGCAAATTTCATAATGCAGTCGCGTATAACCTCTACGTTAGTTTTCCCTTAGTCAGTTTTCTCTGGGTTTATTATGTTACCATTGCATGTGACTTTCACTACTGTACAACTACATGAGGATCTTTTTCAGTGACTTGGCCTTTCTGATGGCAGCGAGGCATCAATTATCTTCTGGTATTCATCAGCCTTATTCACCTACCAGGGCCAGGTATACCGCTGGAGACAGGACCCATAGTGACTCACTGTATGTTTTTTAATTCTCCCTGTTAACAAAGGACAATCAGGAGAGTTATCATTTAATAATCTTCTATTCATAGATTTTCCTGGGGATGCGTGAAAGTGGCCTAATATGTGCCATTTCCTGTGCTAGGTGGTTGTGAGTCCTCCCAAATTCTTGAGAATTTGCTTGAAGTGAGAAATCGATTCTGGCTGACTTGAATGAGACTGTCCATCTCTTTTCAGTCGGTAGGTCCTTCTGGTTCCCGTCCATTTTCTTAATCATCGGCAGAGTTATAATGTATGAAAATTATTGCAGATATGCCTAAAACTCTTGAGAAGTTTCTGAAAAGTTAAAAGGCTCCTGAGAATCACAGAATAACAGTAATGGAAGGGATCTTACAAGAGTATCTAGGACAACCTCCTCATTGGTAGAAAGATAAAGACTTGAGACAGGAAGCTCAAAGACTTGCTGATTTTATGACTTCATGATTTCGTGAGAAGGAGAATCCATCTCTGGCTAGATAACTGACTAGTACAGTTCTTTCAAATGAGGTGTCAACTGAAAATCCACTATTTGCTGCATTCAAGAGTTTGAGTTTTTTCTTCCTTAGCCCTAAATCTTCTGCTCTGCAATGTCTCACAGCACTAGCCCTTGGAAACTTCTCGAAGCTCCCCCAGGTTTTGTGATTGCATCACCCTGGTTCTTTTTTCCTGCCTCCTTCGCTGCTCACGCTCATACTTTCATAGCGATTCTTCTTTCTGCTAAATTCATCTTGTTTTTCACTATACTCATGTTTTTGGAAATACTATCCAGTCCCAAGACCTTAATCATCATCTATTTGGATAAATTCCAAATCTCTCCCTCTATAAACTTCCCACTACCTCCCACTCTCCAGCGCAAATTTCTCACCTAAGTCTCGCCTTCTATCTCCATCTTTAGTGGAGTTTGGCTGCCCTCCCCATCCTGTTCCTGGGCCTCAAAGGGGTCTCTTCTACTAGGGGGCAACAGGCAGTGGATCCTTCTCAATAAATGTTGGTTAAATTATCGCTCCGAACCTAATGGTAATTCCTTGAATAGGTCTTCATAGCCCTCGCAATCTCCTGCCCCAGCTCTGACTTTAGTGTGTTTTGGGATTTCACTGAACAATAGATTTCCATCAAGCCAAATTCCTGGGCCTTTCTAGAAGCTGTTTGTATTAATTCAACCAGGAAGAATTCTCACCAAGAGTCCCAAGAACCAAGAAGATTTGGTGGTATTTTGCTTTCCTGTTATTTTGGAATTTGTAGATTCTATAACTTAACCTGCTTAGAATTATCTAAGTGACAGAAATCATAAGGGGGTTACAGGTTCTAGATAATCTTTTAGAAAAATAAAAACAATTTTTTTCCAATGATTAAAAGGAAGAGCAGAGGTTTTGCTAATCGTTAGTTGCCTCAGTCATAATATTATAGAAGTGGCATGTTATATCTATCCAGAAGTAGAAGAGAAGAGAGGCCATTTAAGACTAAGATTACCCAACTACAAATCAGTATAAGCCCAGGAATAGCATATTAGAAACAGAGGCCAGCAATTTTTCGCAGTGGTTTTTTTGAAAACCTAAATACCTTGATTTCATTTTTTATAACTGTGTTAAGAATTAACACCCAGAGTTATATATTTCATATTAAAGAATGATCAACAAAGATGACTGGAAAGATACCTAAATATATATATGCACTGCCCAAAACATTCCACTATCATTAATGATAATGCACAGACCCCATGAATTCATAGCCAAGTTTTTCATTTCTTTGGGATCTGAGCCATATATAAGAAATCTAACTTTGAGCATGGGGATAAACTTCTACTGTTAGGAAAGGTTTATGGGACTTTTAATGTCTAGATATAGTTTTGCTTCTAAGGTTTCAGCCAGAAGACTGCCACCAGGCAACGAGCTTTGCACAGTATTCAATTTATCTACTTTGCAAGGATGACTCAGAGCTATTGGGATTTGAATGTGTGGCTCCGGTTAGTCTAGCTTCATATTACTGACAGGGAGACCACTAAGCCATCTCCTTCCAGCCAGATGAGTTTCCATTTAAAGTCTGTAAATCCAGGGGGATGAGAGGCAGGGAGTAGTAACAAGATCTCGGCAAGCATTGTTGAGTGTGCAGTGAAGCAGGTAGGCCAAACCGAAGCCAAACATCAGCGTAAACCGCCCTACTTATAGCAGCCACTCTGAGAAGGGCTAATAGTGGGCAAGCTGTTAAAGTCACGTGAATTAAAAGGCCCATCAGTTCATGCAGTCAGACATAGTTTCTGAACACTCGTTATGTGGCAGGCACTGTGTTAGGCATTAGCAATTTAACAGTGGAAGAGGTAAACCCAGTCCCTGCCTGTAAAAGGCTGACAGGCCATTAGGGAGACAAGTAAAGTACACAGGCAATTCCAGCGGAGCAGACAGGAAGTGCTAGGACAGAGAAATGATGGGGGCACGTGGGAAGGAACCTAATCGGACCTGAGGGATGAGCAGGACTCAGGAGAACAGTCGAGATGACCATAACAGACACCCTTACAGGAAGGACTAATCTGTCATCAACTAGATGCCTTTGCTGAGTAACCTGCCTTCCATTCCTACTCCATCTGCCCCAACTTGCATGTGCAGATTATATCTTATTTTCATTTATTACACATACTTTGGTTTCCTATGTATATAGCTTTCCACATACTAAAAATACCTTACATTTGCATAGTGATTTCAAATATTTTATCTTAGTCATCTTCAAAACACTTCTAGGAAGTCAGTAGACTAAATGATATTATTGTCTCCAATTTACAGAAAAAGAGACTAAGGACAAGGACATATCCTCTAACCGCCCAGTTCAGGGCTTCTCCCTATGGTGGCACATCTCATACTATTTTATAACTGTCCACTTCTTTCCCTCCTCTGTAATCACCTTACAGTGAAAGCTCAATCAATACTTGTCGAATGACTGATTTATCTCCTCTATGAAGTTTTACCTGATCTGCCCTGCCCCCTACTCCCAAGTGATCAGAAGAAACAGTTTTATGCCGACATGATAACAGCACAGGTTTTAGGATCTCATCAGGCTGGGTTCACATTCTACCTCTACCACCTCCCAGGCGTGTGACGTAGGGCATGTTACTCACCACTCTGAGTCTTGGCTATCTGCAAAATGAGGGTGACAGAGTCTACTTCATAGAAAGGCTTTGAAGGTAGTGTCTCCTCTTTGTTCCCCTCTGATCGTTGTTTACAACCTGTTATTTGTACCTTTATTTGACTACTGACTTCTTCTTGTGGAGTGTCTACACCCAGCAACCAGAAGGTTAACTCTTGAAAACAGGATCTGTGTTAGTCATCTTCATATTCCTAGAGGCCAGTCTAATACTTTACAAATATTCGATAGAAAACAAATGTCTGGAGCAATAAAATGAATCACGCTACACCTTTCCTGGGCCTGTAGCTCAGAATCAGCACTCTTGATGTTCAATAAATACTGCTGACTGACAGATTGAGCAATTTAGTCCAAATAAAGGATGTGGAATTGCTGGCTCGGCCTCTATCACTCTGGGAGACGTTTTGCTGAGAAGGAATATTCCAGGGCCTCTTACCCACCGTACTGCCAGCACTTGGTCCTTGCAGAGCAGCTTGTTAAGAGGGATGCACGTGAGCACAGGTTTCACAATCCAGTTGCACAACAGCGAAGCCAAGAAGCTGGACTTTGAATTTTCTCAGTCCCGAGCTTCTTAGTTTCAGCGTGGAAAGCAAAACCCCAAAAGTCTGCCTTCCCGTCACCTTAGGCTTTCTCATGGGACTGGAGGAATTTAAGGGGACCCGAGCTCCTCCTCCCAGAATGGATTCCAGAGCTGACGCCAGTGCTGCCCGGTCCCCTCACCAAGAGCCTCACCTTCATCAGGAGTTCCCGGCTGGTCAGATGGTTGTTATGGTCCGAGAAGATGTCTGAAAGTTCTTCAAACATCAGCATCCGGTCCCTGTAAGACAGATTAAGGAAACACTAACAAATGAAGAGTTAGGAGAAGGCTACCACCTTCGGCTGTCCTCAGCACCCATGGCTACCAGGGGGTTATACTGATCTCGGGAGCAGTGGGCGGGAGGAGCAGATGAAGCCAATGACTTTGTCAAGCAGGGTGGTTTTTTTTAAAAAGGTGGATGTGCTCACCTGTGTGAAGAGAGGGATATTTTCTAAATATGTGTTATAATCATAAAAATGGATTGTCAACTCGGGGCATTAAGTTGTTCAATTGGGACATGCTCTCTTCAGCAAGTTAAAAAAAAAATCTGTCTTAACACTACCCACATGCACACGCACGTGCACACAGTGCACTCACAACACATACAAGCGCACACACACACACACACTCACACAGAGCCCTATGGAACCTGAGAAATTATCTTGGCTCGTCCCCTTGGCCAAGGTCAGGGACTTGCCCAACTTTCCACTCAAAACTACTGAGAGTTGCCGGTATGGAATCCAAATTTCCTGAAGCACAGGCTAGTATTCTCGCTCTCGAGTCAGAGAAGACAGCAGAATAAGGACAGAGGGAGGAGGCAGAGGAGGTGGGTTCAAATCCCAGCTCTTCCCCTCACTTCCCAAGTGATTTTAGACAAATTGCTTATTTCCCGAACTTCGATTTTCTTATCCGTACAATGGAAACACGAACAGTTTTCTGTAGGATCCAGTGAAAGTTGGATCGCGTTTGTAAAGCGCCAACTCTGTCCTTCTCCCTGTCTAGTACACTGCATTCTCCACGACCTCATGCTTTTCTCCACACGCCCCTCCAGGATAACGGAGTGGACGACTCTGAAGGCAAAGAATTCACAGGGGCAATATCATCATATATCCAGCATTTTCATTATCATGAGAAAGCCATTATTAACAACTTATTTGTTTCAAAATGAGTGTAATATTGCTCTTATAATTAAGAAAACCATTAAAGCTATGTATAGTTTGGAAAAAAGTAATTAAGAACTTAATTACACATGGGCCTAAATAAAGAGAAATAGATGTCTTCTCTGTCCTCTGAAAGTTATTAGCAAAGAGGATTATAGGGAAAGTGATAACCAGATAAGATATCCTAACCCTGTCCCTTGAATTTAGCAATGAAAAATACATAAAGCTGATATGAACATGTCTTCTCTAAGGAACTGTGACACTTCTGTAGCATCCCTGCTAAAACATGAACCAACCACCTAACTAAGAAACAAACCGGACACTCACATTGTAGAGAATGCAGCTCTGAGGTTTGTTTTGTGGGAATTTTTTTTAATCATTAAAAAAATCAACTGGGAGAATGGACTTTCTCATATGGTAACCAAGGAGCTCAACATACAAGTCCACTAATTTTTTTACTTGTGTTTTAGCCTCAAATTTGCCGTGGAAGAAACCTTTGGCTGGCTAAGTGACTTTCCATAGTGTTCTGTTTATCAATCAGCAAAGAAAGACAGGATTACCCCTCACCGAAATCAGAGAAGGTTGCAATCGGGCAAACATGCATTTTAACATCTGACCATCCCTTTGTTTTCGACGCCACAGCTGGGGAGCAGTGATGAGGAGAAGGAGCTGAAGTCGGCGGGTATCGAAGATTAGTTCTCTGTACGCATCCGATTTTCACATCAAGTTCCCTAGGGCCTATTATCTAATAATTTTATATGGCCCATATCTTTTATAGCATTTATGTGCCGACAAAAACCAGTCAACTAATCTCTCTTTCACACACACAGTCGCCTTGATTTTTCAAACTCGTGAAGAGGAGCAAGAACCCAAGAAAAGAGTAGTAATCAAGATAATTGCATCGGACTTTGAAAAAGCCTATCTGTCGGTTTTGCTATTGTTTGATAACAGTATCCTAAACAGAGAATGAGCTTTTGAGTCCAAGCGGCTGTGGCTTCTATAGCTCTGTAACACCAGGCTTTAAGACCATCTACTTCAATTTTTCTCTTTATCCATCACAGAATTATGCAATAAATAATCTGATTCACCCCACGTAACTGTCCTCTGATTGAGAATATGAGCTCATCAGGAAGCTTGAGTACTCTGGCACTCACTTTTCAGCGTAAATTTATGAAACTCTGGTTTACCGATCTGGGTCTCTTGCAAGTTCGGGTCATGTCAGTCCCTTCGAGATTAATCAACTCTAAGTGAACTGATGAAACTGAGCTCGATGCCTTCTACTCTAAGGACTAAACCCACTGATTCCGCAAGAGCAAGCCCACCGAGAGAGCCAGCTGGCCCCTCTCCTGCCTGAAACTGACTACACTGTGTACAGTACAGACTATAAACAGTTTAGACATTCTTCCCTGATACAGTTTGACTTTTGATTAGTTCAGACCTAGGCAGACTTGCTGAATGTAGCTGGCCTTGTTTGTAGCCATGACACATTTGCGGGCCTCTCAATCTGCACTGACGTGGGACCAGAGCTGCCTCCTCACCTTTCCCTCTTTGGCAGAAAGTTCTCTGGTCTACAAGGGAAGCTCTGGAAATGGAGGAAAGAGCGACAGTGAAATAAGAAGGATGTTAAATTGTTCATTGTTCCAAAGGTGATACTGAGAAATACTAAGAAAATTAATATAGAATATGGCCAGTTAGTAAATGTAGCTAACTGGTAAGGAACACTTAGAGACTTGTAAGATCACTAAGATAGCTTTTCATATGCTAAAGTAGAAACTAACTAAATAGATTCCTACTGAACAGCAAGAACTAACGTCCTATCTGTGCATCTTGGAATACCTTCGGGCTTTGGAATGCGGCTGAAAAACAACCAGAAATAATGGCAAATCGCTATCACTTCCTTGTTCAGCAAACTTAGCCCTCAAAAACCAGATAATAAGCAAGCACATCCTTAAAGTCATCCCAAAAGCCAACAACCTTGGCTTTGGCACACTTTGAGAATGGATGTGATTTCTGCAGTGGCCCTGCGACAAATTCAATAATGATTACATGTAAAATGCACCCTACTAGAGCACACACAGGCTTTCAAATATGCTTCTCTCGTTATACAATACGCGCTTTGAAGGTGAGGACCCACACCATTTATGCAGCCGCTAATCACCCCAGCCAAAGAAAGTAGACCAGACACTTGGGAACTTACTTTGGGACCGCGGCCCAAGTCTTTTTTAACCGATAGATGGAATTGGACTGCAGTGCCGAAACGATGGCCCTCAAGGAGGAAAAATTCTTCAGGATTCTACATTCCTGTATGGAGAGTGATTAAAACATAAAAGGCATTTAAATATCAATAATACAGTGAGTTAGTGGTTTCCTGTTTTAGAGGTATCACAGCTGCTACGAATTCTTACCACGAAATAGGCAGCTGTATAAATACCGAACATCAAAAAGTGGTTCCCTACTCCCACCCCAGTCACCGAAACGCTTTATAGATTTTGGCACCGTATACTTGTTTTGCTCTCCTTTAATATATTTTTTGCGCTGTTGTTACAGTTTTATAGCTTCCAGCTTTCCTAGTGAAAACACGAATGGAGGTGAGTCTGCAAAGCTATGCTAGAGAAAGCAAGCCTTCTTCTGCTGGAAGCTCACAGATGCCCTAAAAATACACATGAGAGACCACTACATCCTGTAGACCCACAAAGTGAATTGGGCAGCAGCCGCTTTGAGGTCAGATGGTATCGAACATGCCATGACCAACCCTTGTCCAGAGAGGTGTATATAACTTGGCAATAAAAATTCACCACAAGTTGAACTTTGGCTTTTATGCTCCTAGCCAAGGGGGAATATTTTTATACACATTCATTTAGTTTCAAATTGGCTTGTGCCACAATCATAAACATTCAGAAACACCTTGATACTTCAAATGTTTCTAAAATAACTTGGACTTTTAAAATTAAATTCATTTTGGCAGTGTTTTAAAACAAAATAGAAGGAAAAAAAAAAAACAACAGGAAACATTCTGGATGTCATTTTCTGGGTAAGGAGAAAGGCTCCCTGATCCCAAAACTCAAGCTACCACACGGAGTCTACAGCCTCAGCAGCCAGTGACTGTGGAGTCAAAGGCCTGCTGAATGAATGGCAAGGACAGCAAAACAGTCAGGGGGAGAGTCCCATGCATGGCTGGCATGGGGAAGATGGCAACATGGAGAGAGTAGACTATGCCTTATGTCAAAGGAGATGCTTATACAGGCATATGGGCTTACAATACAAACACTACTTACAACTGAGTACGCCGTGCGAGCACAGGTTTAGCTCTGTGCAAGGCATCTGGGGCAAGAGATCTCAGAGCGGTTGGGCATAAAGGCACATTGCTTAAAACATCATTTCATGAAGTAATGCTAATCCTGAATATAAAGGGAAAACAGCGTTCTCTAACGTAGCATGTCAAAATCTGGCTACTCAAAACTATGCCAAACAAACAAAACCCCAAACATTTTCTTTACAGTAAATGCCAAAGTAGTTTATAAAAGTCATGCCCACTCTTTTTTAATGCTTCAATGCCTTCCCCTTATTTAAAACGAAAGAGCGAACGCTAGCACTGAATTACAGTCAGTCTGGAAACCAAGCCCATGAGAGCATGGTTCAACAAAAGTTATGGTTCAGAATCCAAAAGTTATGCTCTAAAAATCAGGAAACTTGCAATAAATAAAGGAACTCAGGCACAGATATTTCATGCAAATTATAATAAACATATGGAACACATTATTCAGAAAGAGGCTTAAGCTAAGGGTTTAAAGTTGTAAAAAAGGCATCTGGCCCCATTTCTAGAAAAGGAGGTATCCTTCTAGGAGATATGATGCAAAAGTAAAAATATAGCAGTTAAGCTAGTCCAAGAAAACATAGTAATGTTAGATCAGGAATATTTTCTGTGTGTAAAATTATCATTTTTCAAACATCCCCTCGATAGAATTTGTGGTTATAATGCGGGAAAAGTAAAATAAATCTTGGCAGGAAACCACCTGTGAGTTTCGTGACTTGATTGAGTTAGCCTACGCAATTTCAAGGGGCACAAATTCTCAACATGAGGAAACTGTATCACCAAGATAAGGACCCTTGACTTTTAAGCACATGCTATGAGATCTGGAATATACTTCAAATTATTTAACTTATATTTCTTATTATCACATAAATGCACAATTTATATTTACTATGGACCGAAAGTCCTTGTTTGAGCCACGCTATTATACATACGGATACTACAGTCTTGTTATAGATCTTCTAAGCAGTTGAATAGATTAAAGGTAGACCATTTTCTTTTGAGACATATGGAAGACTGTAAATAATATGGCATTTATGATAAAAATAATAATATTTTCTCATTCTAAGAAGACAGAGAAATGTCATGCTGTATCACACTCTATCAGAACTTCTTTTGTAGCTCTTACCTGTTGAGAAATAAGCTCAATTCGGAATAGAAAATGTCTAAGTTGCATAAGATATTCTTTGTTTCTTACTTTTTTTTTGTACATTAAAAAGTCTGTGGTAACAGACTGCCTAAAAACTCAAAATAATACAAATTCTCTGGTATTTTTACGGCCTCGCTCTTTAATCAAAGACAATGTGAACATTTAAGCATTATGCCCTATGGAGAGGGTTTTTTTTTTTTTTTCTCTAAGCCCCTCTCCATATATATAATGGGATAGAAAGCAAAATGTGCTTTGACTCAACATGAAGAAACTATATCACCAAGATAAGGACCCTTGACTTTTAAGCACGTGCTATGAGATCTAGAATATACTTCAAATTATTTAACTTATATTTAACTTATTCAACAAATTATTTAACTTATTATCACATAAATTATATATATATAATGGGATAGAAAGCAAAATGTGCTTTGGTTGAGGGATGACCCATATAGGCCAGAACATGAACTAACAGGATATTTATGCAATACTTCTTTTACAAAATTGTTGTTAATTGCATAGCTTTAGCTGATGTGATTTCTTCTGCCTAGGGGGAAAAAAATACCAAAAATTCCATCTGTTATCCAAAGCTAGAGTCAAATGTCATCGGATCCGTGAGGGCTTCCTGGTCACGCGCAGTCGGAAGTGAGTTTTCCTCCCTCCGCTTTTGCAGCACTTATCTCATAGGGCCCTACTCCTCTTAATCGACTGTGTTTATCCTACCCGCAGCCCCAAAATGTATACGATTGTGGCTTACACACATGTAGATGCTCATGAAATACGTGGTGACCAGCTGACTAAATACTGTTCACCTTTTCTCAGTGATGAAATAAGATGCTGATAAGTGAAGGTCACATGGCACGTATGCAGCTGATCCAAGAGACCAGACTGACACTCAGTAGAATGTGATTCAGGCCAAGGAACAGGCTCTGCTTCTCCGACTGCAGATATAAGCCCCTCAGAAAAGCCCCAGACTGATATGAAATCTCTGTATCTCAGTCCTTTAGAAAAAGGATTCAGGATTCTGAGAAGGTACCGGATCCTCAAATCTCCTGGAGATGAAGTGCATGCGGAATCACTCTGGGTTGAAGAGCAGTCTGTTTGACACTTAACTGTCAGTTTATATTTACTGAACACGGGGCAGAACCAACACTCGGTCTGTGACTACAAAGGAAAAAGCCGACGGAATGTCTCCCCCTGAAGAAGCAGCACTGTGGGGCTCCGTGAGCAGAAAGAAGTGAGCAATGGGACAACTGTTCCCACAGAGGGAAGATAAATAAGCTCCTGAGTTAAGAAAGGCAACTTTCATACTTCAGAAGAACAACAATAACAGCAGCAAAACCCAATGGGCCCTCGCGTACGGTCTTTCAATTGCCTTTCGACCAAATGGATAAACTATTTAAACAGAGCGATGGAGTAGTCTCCAATATCTACTTAAGACAAAGAGTATTTTTTAAAAGGCAATTACGTGAGCAATGTTAATCCACTTCTCGATGATCCTGGCTCTCTGCTGAGTTTTGAGTTCTTTGCCTCCCAGGATGGTGCTGACAACGCATTTGGTGAGGGTGTTAAACTGGGAGATGGTAGCACGAATGGTAGGAGCCAAATGTTTGTTTTCCTTCTTATCCCTTTGAGACCAAATGCAGCCCAGGCAGTGGTGAGGCACTACCTTCTTGAACAGTTGCTAGAACAAAAGAGAAGTTGACTTTAAGGGCAACGCAGACATTTTATATGGCAAAGCGCATCATCTGGGTCATCTGTGAGTTGGTATTTTTGTGACTGGACAAATAATCCTTTTCTACTTGATTTGCCTCACAGTGTTCATTTCAATAGACAAAAGTACATAATTAACATGTTAATTGATCAGAAAAGCCCACGTGTTCTTTCTAAATCTGCTCAACTGAACAGATGGAACAGAAAGACCAAAAGGAAATTTAAATGCCCTGAAACATTTTGCTTTTTCTGTCTTAGAAGAAAATCCATACAACTAATCAAAAAAAAAAAAAAAAGTGGCTAAGATCCTTTTGACCTCATAATCACATCCACATTGTGTTCTGAGCACTCACGATCATGAATTATCTATAATACATATGAATGCTCAATGACCACCTGAAAAGTGATCCACCAAAATATAATACATGTGACCTTCATCGACGTCACTACTTCACATTATTTAAAATGAAGAAAGTAAAAAGCATATAAAAGGAAAAGCTAGTCAGTGTCACCCAGTAAAAGGTAGAAAGAGGGCTTTGAAGCCTGGTTTCCAGGTCTTCGTCTAAAAGTCATAACTAAGGACATTTTCCATCTTTCTCTTATGCTATCAGTTGTGGCACAACTATGACAACAAATGTGTTGAACAAATCAGACCCTCGTTTGTACGACAATTCAATACAAGATGTGTAAGTGTTCGTATAAAAGAGAGATTTACTTTATACAGACCATCTGATGTACTTTGAGGCGCTGATTTGCCTGCTCACTAGATGGAAATTCTCTGCCACTTTTTATGCTGCTTTCTTCAAAGCAGTATGTGCAGAAGAGCCAAAACCATTGTGATAACTGATAATAGTCTGTTTTTCTTTAACTGATATTTGCCAGCTAAGATTGAGCTATCAAATGGGACTGACGTAATCAAATGTGTACAGCTAAAAAAAATATTCAAACTTCAAAGGTACAAGAAGCCCATGTGGAAATGAGCTGCCAGATACAGTCGCATGTGGAGTCGGTGAATTTATTACATCCTAACCTATACTTTGACCCTTTTACAATCTTCCAAATAAACAGTTCAGATCTTGAAATATTTATGAGTTTAAAGGAAGAGAAATGTCCATGGGACAGAGTAGATTTTGTTTCACGAGGATTAAAATTCTTGTATCTCTCTGTGTATTGAGCACCAAGTAAAAAGGATCTTCACCCAGAATTGCAAGAAGAGCTTAGTTAGGCCTGAATTATTCAGATGATTGATTCAAGTCACATCTTCACTCTGCATTTACAGGCACGGCTTCCCTCAAGGATTTTAAAAGACTTAAATCACGTGACCCCATGTCCTCCCGGGGCCGCCAGTACTGTCACTCCCCAGGTTTTAAGCAGAAGCACATCCGAGGCACAAAGAGAACACGTACGGCATCCATGTAGGTCAGCTGCTCCGCCACGAGGTCTTCTGAGAAGCACGTGAATTCGGCAGGCCCTCCGCCCTCCAGTTCCTCTTCCTCTTCCAGGCTGAAGGAGATGGCATTGAGAAACCCAGCTGTTCATAGATGGAAAAAAATTAGTTATTTAGTGCCACCGTATGTGACTCAGTTTATAGAGTCAAACTGAACGTTCTTTTAGGGAAGAGAGGGCTAATCTTTCAGAAAACCCACAGGGAGAGAACAGCAAGCACAATAAATCTGAGTGGCGTGGAGGCCTTCACAACCTCTGCTTGTTCTTAGTCTTTATCAAGTTCAGAGGCCTCACATCTTTGACAAACCCCTGGTTCCTAGGCCAAGCACAAAGCCACGTTAGGCAAAATCTAGAGAAGCAAAGCTGGGCTACACTCAGGGGTTACCCTCGCCTTGGGCTCCCTCAAAACCCCCTGATCAAATCAAGGACTAGCCCAACTGCTTCCTGAATCCCAAGTATGCAATTTTTAATAATTAGGAGGCCATCTATAACCAGATGCCTAGAAGGATTGGGCATGAAGGTGCCCAGGCTCAGGGGAGAAGACAGGCCATTTTGGCATCAGAATGAACTCCTCAGAAATCTCGAAATGTCCTTAGAATTCTCAAAATACTTGGAGTAGCATTCAGCTTCCACCTAAAGTTAAATATGCATGAAGCAGAATAGTATTACACTAAATTCACCTGAGCCTTATTATAGATAAGATCATCGAAGGACACAGACTAAGGAATTGAGTAAAAATCACTACCATCGCTACCCAGGATTCCCAATCAGAAGCTGAAGGGCTCGGCACATGGAGCGAGACCTCTGGTCTCCGGTTTGGAAGACTGGAATTGGATGAAGTTTAGCTTGCCTCCCCAGCCTCCCTTCCCTGAAACCTCTCCCCGATTCCTGGGTTATTTCCCAACCTCATCCTCCTTCATATTCCTTGGTCTCCTCTCTGTTAAATCTGTTCTAAAGGAAAACAAACAAACAAACAAACAAACTAGCTGTATTCAGTTATATTTTAGCAGAAAGTTAAATCGGTGTGTTACCACTCCCCCAGAATGTTTATATTTTAAGCCTCTTCTCTCTTTCTTTGTAGAATAAAAGAATTTTAGGCATCTTGGATCAAGCTGGGGTGGCCTTTTCTTAGTTTTCTAGGGGGTATCGAGAGTGGACTCGACGTCACTTCCCCTACTGGGGAGCCATGCGCGTCCTGGCCGACGCCGGTGACAGGTATGTGGTTGAAGGCCGGCTTCCTTACCCCGGAGCTGAAGGTATTGATGAGAATGGGGTGGGGTTATGACTGGAGCAGGTAGAAGGGGATCCCTGCCTTTCTGGAGTCTGGGACCCCAACATGCATGAGCTAAAGAAAACATAAAACCCATTTTACTACTTTTCTCCATAGAACTCTGGAACTCCCTCATCCAGTGGAGGAATAAGACATTTGAAATCCCAAACAAAGGTTCAGAATGGGCCTCTCAAGCCTCCTGGTAGCTACTATATACATCTATCTCCATCACTCGGCAATGCAGAGGCTGAGCCAGTTCAGCCGAGTATGTGTGGGAAGTCTCCATCTTCCCATTCATTCAACAAATGCCACGGCGGCCTGATATGCGCCTTGAATGTTGCTGTGAATGGAGATGGCATGGTCCCTTCTCTCTGGGGCCCAGTCCATGCCTTCACTGTTTCTGCTTTCGACTCTCTTACAGAAGCACATAAGTAAAAACCAGAAGCAAGACTTCACTTGTGAAAAACACAGAGGAGAGCTCGTTGCTTTTGCCGGCATGAAATGGGATAAAAGCAGCACGTGGAAACCAAGCTCCTAAAATTCCTTTTCAGTCATGATAACTGTACTTAATAATCAAAGAGTTTTGAGCTTTCTTGATTAAAAATTTCCACACTTAGACAAAAATTCATTCTTGGGTACTGCCTGCAAGCCTTTCCAGAGTCCCGCAACCTCCCTCTCCCACCTCGGCCTGCTAGATGAGCTCTGCCTCCGGGTCCCTGAGTAGGAAACAATGAACGACTGGTCCCACCAGTTCCCCAATTAGGCCGGGAGCCAGGGGCAGCCCCCTGGGGAGAGCTGGGCTCTAACGCAGAGTTTTCCACTCCAGCACAAAGACAGACAGGGAGGCCCTGAAGGGAGTTGAGGCTTGGGCAGCGGCGGGCCGGGAGGGGGCGGGCGGTGTGCCCCTGGCATTCAAACATTCCTGGCAGATGAAGTCATCTAGATATAGAGTACTTGGCAGTCCGGAGTCTGGTGATGCAACTGCATTTCCCCTTTACTGGTCCCCCATAAATAAAGAAATTCAACAGGTACTGTTTGGAATTTAAGGTTATTTTCTTTGGCGCTGAGGCAGCTTCCCTTATCGGAGTGGAGGAACCATTTCCTTTCCCCCACTGAGGAAATCAGGCGTCATTTCAGGGAAATGCCTGTCTGAGGCTCCAAGTAGGTCAGCCGTCATGGCAACCATCACCCAGCACCCCGGGAAGAGGATAAAACATCATGCGAAAAGCCTGTCCTAACCTCTTTCTGGCTTTCTTCAAAGGCTGAGAGTTCCAAGCACCCCACAACCCATGGTACTGGCTCTTCCTTTGTCCTTGAAAATAGGCAGTCGATTCCTCCAATAGGAAAAAATAGCCAAAGAAACTTCCTTTGATGAGGCCATTAGAGACACTAAATGACCGGAAATCTGCCCTGGCCAGGACGGACTACAGTGATGCTTTCTGGCTGAAGAAGAAACACCTCTTCCCAGCCTTCGTGAGGGCAGGGGCAGAACTGGGTGTAATTCCTTGCCTCCTGAATGGGGGTTATTGTTTGTGAGAGGTTTCCATTCGATAGAAGGAGGGGCCATTATAAGGCAGATGAGAAAGAGCAAACTCAGGGTCAGCATGGTGCGTGTTCACAAGGAAAGAGACAAGACCATCAGAAAGATCATCGTCTTTATGGTATTAAAAGAAACTCTAGAAAATTACTTCACTTCTCCGAGCTATAGACTCCTCACCTATAAAATGAGGGAGCCAAACTAGGTGGTCTGAATATTCATTCCCCTTTGCTCTAAACTCTAGGGCTCTGTAATCAGCACTTGAATAACCTCGAGAATTTTACACCCGCCATCAATCAATCCCCTGGCAGCCTGTCCTTCTGAGGGAAAGCAAGGTCTCCTGTTCAAAAAGCGTAGGGAGAATATTTCCTTCACATGGAGGCTGCGGATCAGAATCGAGCTTCTTCCCTGGAATCAGGCAAGTACTCACTGTCGGTCTCCAGTTCTTGCTTGTGAAACTGCTCAAGAAGATTCTGTGCTCTTCTCTCTGGGTCTGAGCCCGGCATCATCTGTTTGAGATAATCCAGCAGTTTCTGTAAGCAAGGGAAGTGAGGGGGCTCTCGGAAGTCCTCTGCGCATTGGTCAAGCCAGGCCCGCAGGATAGAGGCGATTGCACTGAAAAAGAGAAATGGAGAGTCACTGCACCCAACTGGCTGCGGGGACTCAAGACAAGGCCTGGACACCGGGACCTAGCCCAGGCAGATCCCAGGGAAACTTGGGCAGGTGGTCAACAGGTAATTCATCTAAGGTTCCTGGCAATGTCGATGAAATTAAAGCATTTGAAAACAAGCTGACTACATTTTATTATTTTAAGCGGTGGCTGAGGAGCAGAGGAAAGACTGATAAATTTAAAAAAAAAAAAAAGAAAAGAAAAGGACTATAAGCTTTGGAAAAATCCATACAGAATAGAAAAAGACATGCAGAAAAAAAATTATTAAGTCTTGAAGCAACTTCAGAGCAATCTGCACACTGGATTCAGTTAAATTAGAGACCACAGAATCTACTGTCCTAACATTTTAGGAATTAAATGACTGATAGTAGGCTAGAAATCCAACTGATGAAAGGAATAACCTAGGTTGAAAAAGATAAATGCATTAATTTAATTTCACAAAGATCACCAGGGTTTCAGCATATGAACCCAAAATGTTCTCATCCTTTTGCTTCTCAAATTATAAAAGAAGAATATGTTTCAAGTGGGAGAAATAGGATGAGTGGAGAAGTTAGGTTTTGAAAGGTAAAGGAGAAAAACTTGATAAGCAAAGCCATGGCGAAGGTGATTTCCTCCGATGGCTCAGCAGAGTCCACCTGTGGTAAAAGAAGGTCCAGAATACAAAAAGAGCCAGGGGTCATTGTGTCGGCACAGTTCCCTCCGGACACCTTACTAAGAATCGAGCTGTCTTTAGGTTGGGGACAGCTCCTCACTCAATGAAAGACAAACATCTGACTGACAAAAAAGAATAAAACATTTTGAATGCTATTGTTATATGCTTCATATTCAAAGAAGACTTTACAGATGCCCCTGAGTCAGGAACATGCTGGGCTGTGTCCCATGGAGAACACTGTACTTTGCCTCTTTAATAATCAGCCACCCCCAGAGCCCAGGTGCGTTCATTGAAGATGGCAGGGACTATAAATTTATCAATGCGTGTTTTATTGACAGAGATGTGTCACACTGTTTTAGCTAAAGACCTAACCAAAATGTCTCAGCTGAAAAAAAAATTGTTTAGCACATTTTAAAATTATCTAATGATACTTCAAACAAATTGTTTATTCTAACTAATGAACTCTGAAGAGACTATTATTTCATATGTAGGTATTACTATCCACATATGTGAAACTGCAGGCTGGGCTTTCAGAGGTGCATCTAAATTTCACACGTAACAACCTCACACCAGGGAGCTGGATGATGATCAAGGCATAAAAACAACTAAAGTCAATTTAATACTTAACTTTCAGAATTGAAGTACAGACAGAAGAAAAATAAATTTATTAACCGTTTTCACTGCTGCGGATATCATTGTTTCAGTAATGGGAACATGAAGGCACTTGGAACTATAATATTCACATATCTACATTGCAAATAGATGACATAAAACCACCAAATAAAGTTAGAATTTAAAACCATAGAAAGAACTCAATACTCTCTGAATCTTTAGTCTGGATGAAATAAAAGATTTAAAAGAAGTTTTATTCGCTTTCAGAAAGCTAGAAGAAAATAATCTGTGCTCTGAGACTAATCGAAAATATGAATAAGATGAAATTAATGGACTTTTAGTCAGTGAACTGTCAATTCAGTTTACTTGTCATATCATCTATTATGTATAAATGTTTGTGTCCCCTCAAATTCATATGTTGAAATCCTAAACCCTCAAAGCGATGGACTTCTATTTTTGAGAGCCCTCACAAAACAAAATATCATGAATTAAAGGAAAGAATGAGAAAGAGGCATTCTAATATTTGATTTTTATAAGGAATATGACTTTCTCTATGAGTAGTTTCCCTTCTTTCCTGAGCCCAGAACTGTGGTAGGCACATAGGTAGGGTGACAGTCTGTGACATTTGCACACAACAGGTTGACTCTCACAGAACAGTTTTCACTTCTCAAAGCATGGGTGAGTTAACTCATACTACCACTTAGTTAATATTTCTTAATATTCCGAAGAGAGAATACTCTCCCAATGACATTGATGGAAAAAAAGAGACATAAATGGATAATTCGCACACTTCACACAATAAAAATTAAAAAAAAAAAAGAGCATCCACCCAACAATGAGACCAGCGACCCAATTACCCTAATGACCCCTAGGAGTTCCATAAGTTAAAAGAAAACCTAGCAGAAATCCAAACTTACAAGTAAAAGACAGATGTTAAATAGAATAATGTATCATTTACTCCTTTACTCCCCATAATTGTTAATTTTAAAATCATAAATCTGATTATTTATTGTAAAAAAGGAAATATTATAAGTGTGTATAAACTAAAACAGCAAAATATTTACTCCCCCTTCACTCTAATCCCATCCCCACAACCTTCTGTTTATAGTTTGGAGTATCTTCTTGTAGACTTTTCTATGACTACGTATACATATTTAAATAGATACAATATACATACATATAAAGCAAAGCAGATTCTTCTCCCGACTGAATAGTATGTTACAGACCCCCCTCCATCCACTACCTCTACATCTGACCGTTTCTCAGGGCTGCATGGACACTCCACAAAGTACAGACCCTGCTGCGACATGTGTGGCTCCAGGCCTGCTGGAGGAAGACAGTCACTGCGAACAAACAGCATTCCCACCCCTCACCCCCGCACCCCCCTCCACACACCCCCGAGGCAACCTCAGAGACATCGAATTGTAATACAGACTGCAAGACATGACTCTTGAATATTCGACTTGTGAAGACTGAAGAAGTAATTTCCGAAACCAAATAGAAAGATTAAGACTGTGACATAATCTAAACTCAGTAAGGAGAAAAGCCAGTACATGACCTCCTTTTCCGAAGTAATCTTTGGTGAGTTAGAGAGCAAAACTCCCCAGTCCCCAGAGGAGGTATGTATGCGAGCAAGCACGCCGGCTCCGCGGCCAGGGGCGGGGGGCCAAACGGCAGAGGGGACAGCCAAGATCGCTCTTTCTACCTCAGGCATATTTGGCAACGTGCAAAACTTTGTAGAATGTGAACCTTTCCCAACCTACTGCAAATGTCCGTAGCGGAAGAAAGACATGCTATGCTCAGAGGTTACTGTGTGGAACTGACTGATACAGCGTCTCAGATGCTTCCTTCTAAGAAAATAGACCTCTGGGGAGAATTAATTCACTAGTTAAACTAATACCTGTTGTGTGTCCTTTATTTTCCATATTCACAAGAACTATTTATGTGATGACTGTCACAAGAGGAGAGAGTCCAGCGTCCCAAAAGAATTTATCTATAGAAAGAGCTAACCTAGTCGGGGCTTCAGAGGGGACCTCCCCAAGGAACTAATGTTAAAGCCGAGGTCTCAAGGTTCAAGGGAGTTAGCAGGGCCAAGACTAGGGCAACAGTGTGTGCAAAGGTTCTGCAGTGAGAGAGCAAAACACATTCAAGGGACGTGGAGACCTGTTTAAAAACTAGGAAGGGAGGGGAGGCATGGAGTACGTTGAGATTTGCTACACTTATTTCATTTCTTAGCCAAACAGAAATCACACTTAATAATACCTGATTGGAAGATACTAGGCAGATGCCTTAGCTGAGAGATGCAGGGAAATAGTACAAAACTTCTAGCCACACCTGGGAACCTTCGGGGAGGTGATGCAGAGTAAGAAAGTAAAGGAGAGCACCTAGGCTGCTATTATGCTCAAACCACAGATTTTTAATGCATACGGAGATTTTTAGATAAATGGATTAAATTATATTAAAATCCCATGAGTAGTAAAATACTCTAGAATTGGTAAAATGTTTAATAAAAAATTTTCTAGGGATGAGTCATCTCTCCCATGATTTGTAAAACCTCTAAGCCAAGAAATAGAATTACCATGACAAAAGGAATAAGTCTGTTCCTTTAGAGATCTTTTCTCTCCCCAGAAATCTATTTGAGATAATTTATTGTTACTTAATCATCAGCAGAAGATAAGACATGGAACTATTTTTTAAAAGCAGCAAAATATTTTTCTATTTTAGAATATTCTCCAAGAACTGAATCTGTTCCTGATGTAGATAATGAAAAGGTAAGAAGATCTCCATAAAGGGTGGGCCTCGGAAGCAATGTGGCCCGCGACACTGCCAAGTCCTGAGTGTGGGAGCCAATGCACCTTGCCCTTCAGGGAAAGAAAGCAAAGTAACCTTGACTTTGACTCTGAGCTGGACCCTCCACCTCATTCCCCTAGTCACAGAACAGTTTTTCTGTTTCAGGGAAGGATGCCAGATAGAGGCTGACTCTCAGACCTCCGGCTAGATGGTTTTCTTGATGAGAAAGAACAAAGGAAGGTAAAGAAATTTTTTTTTTCTGAAAAAGCCTGGAATGGATGGAAACATTATTATCTGAACGTGGCAAGGTCATCTTGCAATGCTTTCTTGTACTTTCCATTGTACATTTTGGTACTAGTGGTGAGTAGGGATTAGAACACTGGGGGAGAAAGTGAAAGAGGAATTAAGAGAGGCCCAGGGAAATAAATGCAAACAAAGCCAGAGTGAGAGCTAAGCCCCAGAAGACAAGTACAGGGCATACAAGCCAGAGAGGGGCCATGAGGCACTTAAAGAAGGGACAAAGTTCCAAGGCAAGGAGGAGGAAGAAAAGGATTGTGGTAGGAAGGATGCACAGAAATACAGAATAAATATGGGTAGAAAGGGCCAAGAGTAGGAGGTTAAGTTCAAAACCAATTATCAAAGTCAAGGGTGTTTACACATCTGTCTTTCATTCCCCAGCCACATGTGCAGGCCCTAGCATCCGAAGGTAAATTCACAGAAATTGAAGAGACTTACTGTGCATAGACTTACAGCCATATCACCAAACCATAGTCAGTGGCTGCATTCTATTGGAAAAGAGAAAAAGCTAATGCCTACTTTTCATGAGCAGTATAGCCAATGTGATTAAACACAGTCTCTGGAGCAGACTAACCGGGATCCTGGTTCTGTGGC